AACGGATCATTCTCTGTGAACTAATCTTTTGCCGTGAACTAATCTTTCGCCGTGAACTAATCTTTTGCTGTGAACTAATCACTATTAACGGATCATTCTCTGTGAACTAATCTTTCGCCTCGTTCTCGCAGATTCGTTTTATTTGTCACGTGAAAGAGCTCGGGTCTTTTTTGCTCTCATTCATCTTCACATTGTGGTGTGTTTTTATTTCTTAGCTTTTCACATGGTTTTAATTACTTATGGCATTTTGTGTACTTTGTAGACTGTCAGCGGAAGCAAAAAGAATTTTGCCTTATTTAGTGTCGGAGAACCGCAGCCTTCTTTACAACGCCCACAATAGGGCTAAAGCGCCACCTGCTGTAAAAAGAATGAAATGATTAGTTCAAGATTCGTTCACGACTCGTTCATGTTACTGTTCGAGAGTCAAAGATTCGAATCAATAAAAAGAGTCGGTCTTCCCATCACTACTGGTAAGAGCAGAGAAGGCGGGCTCTGTATACATAACAACTGGTGCAACAACGGGACAATTATAGACCAACACTGTTCCCCAGACATTGAGTACGTCTGTTAGATGTCGGCCTTGTTTTCTGCCGAGAGAGCTGACTACCCGACACCAAAGTAAACACAGCGCTCTCTCTCCTACTGAACACCATAAATAAACAGCAGCGGGCCCACCCCAACGGTGTTCATATTATCGCAGGGGACTTTAACAAGGCTAATCTGAAAACTGTACTCCCTAAGTTCTACCAGCATGTCAAGTGTTCTACAAGGGCGGAGAATACTCTGGGTCATGTTTACACCAACATCAAGCATGCATACAGAGCCATACCCCTCCCCCACCTTCGCCAGTCAGATCACCTCTCCCTCCTGCTTTCCCCAGCCTACACCCCCCTCAGACGCCTGGCAAGGCCCACCACAAAGACTGTTAAAATCTGGCCGGACGATGCACTCACTAAACTACAGGACTGCTTCCAACAGACAGACTGGGATGTATTTGAACAACAGGAGCTGGAGGCACTAACAGGAACGGTGCTGGACTATATTCAGTTCTGTATCGGGAATGTGATTGTGGACAAAACCATCTGGGTTTTCCCTAACCAGAAACCCTGGATGACCAGCCAGGTCCGCACACTCCTCCGAGCCTGTAATGCTGCCTTCAGGG